GCAGGGGAAAAGAGGGGAAGAACAGCAATGGCAGTGATCACCCCCTGGGTTCCAGAGCTATGCTGCCCAAAAGCAGGGACTCCTGCCAGACTTAGCATCAAATGCTTACATGTGACACAGCCAAGGGGGGAGAGGGGGAAACTGTTCTGCCATATCCACTCTGGATCTGCCCCTGCATAGATTCTCTCTCTATATATTGATTGAAACAAACAAAACAAACATGCATGCTACACCAGGAATGCACCTGCCATAGCAGATAACTTTCCTAGCAAACAAATCAAATCTACCTCATTGCACTCTGAAGTGAGGAACTCCCAAGTTATTATGTGCAATGCAACAGGGTAAGCCTGATATCTTGGAGAGGTACTGAAATAGCTACCTTAAAAAAAAAAAAGGCTTTGGGTGTTCTATAAACTACTTTACCTTTCACAAAGTTCTATGGGAAATATTAATGAGCCAATCTGTAGCTTAGGACTTAATGGCATTTTGCATATATTCTCAGTTCTGTTCCCACAAAACCTGCACTGCACTCCATTAAAACCCAACCAAGTAAAGTACAGTATTTTCTTTGAGTCCCCAAGAAAACCCCTTACATTTTTCAAGTGCATCCATTGCAGCTCCCATTTCTGCTTGTTGAATACTGCCAATGCCAAACAAAAACATGTTAAAAGTTAATTTATTCTTTATGGTATAGAGGAAGAAGTTTCCCTGATGCAATCAGTTCTTCCAATCATCACTGTCAGGTTTCTAAGCATAAATGTGACAATAATGTAAGCATAAACAAATCATTTCACAAGCATAACATCACAATTCCAACAGCTCAATGTTAATCTTAGATTAATAATATTATTAGACTATTAGTGTTCATAATTCTTTAGTAAATCAGATATTGTACCCAAGAGAAAAAACTGAAGAAACACTGAGGGATCTGAATGCTAGAAAATCAATGATACTTCTATAAAACAAAAATTGTGTACCATTCTCTAAGACCATTATGAAATATATTTTCCTGTGCCAAAAAATAATAGAAATGGATGGATTGCTCATAGTCCAGGTACAGACATTACACTTTTACCAGTGTAAGTGATTGGAAACCTGTCTATACTCATAACAGAACAGAAGTTCAGTGCACAGACTGATTTAAAAGTGGCAGAACCTGGTATAAGATTTGCCCCTTTCAAAGGCAAATGCGTATTCTGTTTGCTACCAATCTAAACTATGCCATTCACAGAAAACCTTGCAACTTCAGGCTTTTTAAATGTCTGTACCTAGCCATAGCGATCTGTAAAGGGACGTCTTTGCCTCTTAAATGGGGACTGTCCAACTTCTAAGCAGCTTGGGGCTAAACAGACAAGCAGAGTGAACTATTTACAGCTATTAAGACATAGTCCCATTAAAGATAAAGCAGAGAAGAGATTGCAGAGCTGCTATTCATACTACTTCTGTGGTTAACAAGAGTCCTCCTGAGTGCCCACAATAAAATTCACTTATTAAAATCATTTAATAAAATGTTACTATACCTTGGGCCTTTACCACATCCTATTCGTTCTCCTTTGAAATAAACAGCCACCGTGTATGTCCTGGCATGAGAAGGTCCCACTGTCTGCAGAGTCCTGAAATAAGAAAGACACAGTGTGCTCAATGTTTGCTCATGGTATTAAAAAATAATCTGTTTGTGGAATGTATAAAGCTTTTATTCTATTCAGTCCACTTAGCAAGATTAGCAAGACACAACATAAGAGGGTTGACTGCTAACTTGTATATATAACTTTAACTGGAAGGTAACTAAGTTTGCGTGCAATAAAATCAAAATATTTTCATACACTTTATCTTTGTTAAAAAAATGTTTTTTTGGTTTTCCACAGGCCCAATTTGAAAAACAAGCCATGATCTGTAGGCAAAAATTCAACTATGCTTATACAGTTGCTTCACTTCTGTGCATCCAATTTGAGTTGCACGCACAAGTATAGTTGAGGACCAACACAAATTAACCTGTGTAATGAAATTCTGACCCATGAAATCTGAAGAGATAAGAAGCTTTGAAGGGGATTTGATATTAGATATGCTGCTCCTCAATGTGGCAAGTATCACAGTACAAACAACTTGTCCTACTAGCAAAGAAAAGTTACAGTGTCTGTCACTTACGGGACAACCTTTCCTTTGAGTGAGAGTCCATGATATGCATCAGCAACCATCTCAAGGGGAAAGAGATAATTCCCTAGACACACAATGAATCTGCTTCTTCTATCTTTTCCTTCCACTCCAAATCTCTCCTCACTGTCAAGATGAGTTCTGTCCACTACCCTGTTTTTTTCTGGCAAGAATTGCAATTGCACATCAATTTTTAAATCATCTAACCAAAATAGTCTGCATCGAGGAACTCTGTAACACCAGACATAAACAAACAAAACCCACCGCAGAAAACGACTGACTGCAGTGAAACAGATAACCCCAAGGGAAGAAAATTTAACAAGATAATAGGAAGATAACTGTTTATGGCTAACTCTGAACTGTATTACAAAAATCAATTTATCACCATAACAAAACAAAGCAAATATTTGGTCTTTGATACTCAGTGGATTTTAACAAGAAACGGGAATCATTTCTTTTGAATCTTTCTCCGCCTCTCAAGATAAGGGAGTAAGCTCTTAGATAAAGGTATTGGAAAAGCAGATGTGCAGAGCATCAGTTACTGTATAACAGCAATCACATTTCTAAAGTGCACTGATTTTTCCCTATAACCCCCAGCTGCATTTCATCTGAAACTTTACTTCAGTAAACATGAAAAATGTACTGGAGTTTTCATTCTATACACATTTTTGACATTATAAATAACACCAATAATAAAACCCTTGCTTTTATAGCATCTATCTATCTTTTCTCTAGGTACTAATATTACACCTGTCATTGTAGTATTTGAGTGGATGTGAAAGTGCAATACAAACTATGAAATCTAATATCTTCCCTCTGAAGTGTATATTATTCCTTTTTTACATCTGGGGAAACTGAGGCACAATGTTTAAAAAGCTTAAATGATATGCTGAAACTCTGCAGCAGTCCTGACAATAGAACTCAGATCTCTTGGCTCACAGCCAAGGCTTGATCTAAACCAGTGGAAGCCAACCTTTTTGGCTGGTATGCCACAAAATAAGCTCCATCCCCTCCCTGAGTGCCATTCTTACCTCTAACCCCTGCCTGATTCCTTGCTTTGTTCTATTTCCTGCCTGATCCCTTGTTCTGCTCTCTGGTTCCCTGCTTTCTGACGGATCTACCGCATGGCAAACAAAGCAGCTGTGTGCGCCATAAGTAAACACGAGGACCATGGATTGGGCAACCCTGATCTAAACAATGCTCCTTATCCCATTCATTGAACTTCTATATTCCAAATACTCTTTTCCATATTATTACATGTTATTCTAAACCAGGGCTGTCCAACTGACAGTCCACATGTGTTGAACATGTAGCCTGTGGACCTGTGCATCCACCTTTTCTGCTGCTGGCAGCCAACACGGCAGGGAAAGATCCTGGGGAGGCCACCACCTTAGAGTGTACTGGTGAGTCTGAGGGCCATGGCCCTGGCCGTATCCAAGTTGGACTACCCTGTTCTAAGGGAAGATTCAGTTAAAATGCAGTGTAAATCCAGAGCTTAATGTAATGTAAAAGGCAGAATATTTGTTAATTCAGCCCTGCAATGGTTAAAACACATGGAGCAGAAAACATTGGTTCATCAGTTCTACTTCCAAACACAATGAACCTGGATGATTTTTTATGCCTTTATTTTGGAAGCAGGCTAAATTATTTCTTTAAACAATAGGCAGAACAATGTGCATACTAGACGTATTGAAATGGATTCTTAAAACAAAGCCAGCGTTTGGAAAAGATGCTCAGAACCTGATCACAACTTGCACTAAGTAAAACAAAGCAATGGTTTGTATAAGTAATATGTAGGTCCTTACTTGTATAAAGGAATATCTGGCTCTTTTCCTTCTGTTCTGAGAGTGAGGCAGCATTGCTGAAGCTGGGATTTTGGGTCATTCCAATCCTGATTTAAAATGAACTCCTGTAATAATTCAACAAAATAGCTTGAGAGTTTGTAGTAATCACCCAAATCACACTGATTTTTTAAAAAGGCAGAAATAACACATGAAAGCAAAAAATAATGACTGATTTTACCTTTAACCGTGGAAAAAAGCACACGTTCATGAAAGTATGAACATATTCCAAATCCTTATCAATGTAAAGTGCAGCAATAAAGGCTGAAAAATAAAATATTTAGACATTACTACTCATGCAAGAGAAGCGTAATGATCCACATTTTGTAGCGCCATCACAGTATTTTTGAGTGCCCTTAAAGCATACCAAATTAGGCTTTACAACACTGCTATGATGAGCCCAGTATTATTTCAGCATACACAGGAGGAAACTGAGTCAACCAAGAGGTTAAATAACTATCCCAAGTTCACAGAGAAAGTCATTTACAGAGCTGGGAACAAAACCCAAATCCTAATCCTCTGATTTAACCAGCAGACCATGACTTCTTAGAAATAAATCTCTATTGGATACTGTATAAATGCTTAGGTATAAATCACCATTGTTTGTGAACAATTTCCATTTACTAAAAGGATTTGGCAAGAGTCAAAGGCTCTAAACTTCTCACAAAATGTATAAAATTGTACTGGATATGGGATTAACTTGCTTTGAACAATATTTATTACCATTTTACTCGCCTTGGAAAGAGAACAGCAAACGCTTTCGTAAATGGACTGAAAGGTCATTTAATTTTGTGCAGCTTCCTCTGAGTGTCACTGCTTTTTTGTGGAAACAGTCTTTTGAAACTTCCTGTTGGAAGACAGCTCAGTGAAGCACACCGATACCCCTGCACTCAAGGATTATTTTTGCCTTTCTTTTACCAATAACAAGAGCATGTCAATCACAAAAGCCTCTGCTTCACTGGAACTCCATACCTTCTCATTCAGCTGCCAATAAGTCCTACTCCTATGGACATAATTTTGACCTAGGCGTTATTGAGGTTATTAATTTCTGAGCGCAGAGTTTTATATTTGCAATTATCTGGAGGGCCCTATTAAAGCTACATAAACAAATAAGCATTGGATTACACCTGCAATCATCGTCTTGCATCTTCTTCCTGTTCACAGAGAATGTACAAATGAAAGCTAGCATTTGAAAATCTGTCCCATGAAGTCACAGGTCTTAAAACAGCATAATTCAAAGAAAACCTGAAATAAGACATGAATTTTTAATAATAAACTTGTTTTAAAAAATGATCTGCTGAAGAAAGACTTGGGGAAAATGGCTAACGTATTAGCTAAATAAGAGCTGGTAGCTCCATATTAGCTCAGTATACTCATAATGTTACTAAGCTACAAAGACACTTGCCCCATTTTTCAAAGGCTAGTCCTTTTAAGTATTCTTTTACAAATCTGGTTAACATTCTGTATCAGCACTCACATTCCAAGAGATCGGCCAAAGTCTTAGTCCGAAGAGCCACAGGCCTCTTGGTCTTGTCATTAGTGATGGCAAATTCCTGCATACCCAGCTCTTCTGCTACTTTAGCCTGTGTCCTGTTGTTCACCAAGGAGCTTCGCAACAGCTATAAACACAAACCACAAATTTACATTAAATGGTATTAAATTGGAAGAGTAAAGCAGATTGGTTAAAAGCAGCTGTTCCGTCTTGCTTCTTCTGTACCTAATTTATTTTAGGTTCTGTCTATTCTCCTTCCTTTTGGACTTAATGTATTTCTCTTCTTAGTACACCTTAATTCACTGATTCCCAAAGGGTGTGCAATTGGTGGAAGTGTGATGCAATGAGCAGGCAAATGCTGTCTCCCCCTGTCTGGCCCCGTGCCTGGCTCAGCTACTCCAACAGCACCTACGGCTGCTTCTCTGGGGACTGTTCCTGCTGTAGCTCTCTTCCCCTGCCTCCAAACAATCCCTGTGCCAGCCTCCCCCAACGCTCCTAGCAGCATACTCTGTTGTGAGCTGGTGGACAGGCAGCTGCACAAAAGGAGCTATGCTTTGCAGCTCGGCTTGTGCCCTCCACTTTTCCCATGTGCCTGGGGCAGGCAGGAGGGACCACGGGGGTGGTTGCTGGTATGTGAGACCCTGCAGAAGCAGTTGCAGCAGTGAGGGCTAGCTTTGTTCTCCTGAGGTACAGAGCACGGGTGGCAGGGGTAAGACAGTGCAAATAGCAGGGCACAGCAGGGTGAGGTCTGGCCCCTACCACCCTTAAATGGCACTAGCTAGGTCAGTGACTCTCAACCTTCTTGGCCTCAAGGCCCTCTCCATATCTTTTCTGAATGTAGATCTCAGTGACTTTCAACTGGGGTGCCAGAAAATTAGAAAAAAATTATGGAAGGGTACCTTGAAGCTAAAAAGGTTACAACCACTGGCACAGAGACTAATTCTTTGCTTAAAGAAAGGTGTATTTGGTGTTATTTTGATAACTTTCCAGATGTAAGCGTAAAGTGTGCTGCCAATTTTAATTTGGAGAAAAGGTGTACCCTAGGCATTGAAGGTTTGGGAAATACTGCCTTAAATCTGGAAGTGTTCTTACGCACGTTCCATTGCTGCAGATGTCTTTTCATTGCATTCACCTCACCTCCAAGGTCTGTTTGTGTCCTTTCTTCCTACACTTTTATTCCTTTTTCCTGTGATAGGCCATTCTAGCTATATGCAAGGAAAGGAACATGTTGAAAACCAAATAATAAGTAATGCCTGCATGGATACAGTAACACTTAACAATAGGCAAGCCATATGTTTCAACTGAGTTGGTGGGAACAGCAGCAAGTAAATGTCTAGGGTTCATTCTATCCCTATCATTCCATTTGTTTGGTGAGTTCTCAGAAATTATCAGGTATACACAACAAAATTATCTGGCAGGAAGAAGAGAAAATTATAACTGTTTCAGCATAAGTATAAATAAGCAAGCTCAGTGTCTTGAAGTCTATATAGGCTATATACTGAGTACAACCGAAGTCTATGAATTCTTGCTCCCACTGTTAAAACAAAAATGCAGTATATGTTAAAAGTAACAGTCTAGTGCTACATACCTAGCAAAGCTACTAACTATTTCAGGGATGAGCATGTCAGGGTAGAGATAAAAATTTCTGACTAGATCCAGCTGTGTAAGTCAGCATAAAGTCGATCGCCTGCCTTAGTGTTATAATATAAGACCATTTCAGGAGACAATCAGGTTATAACAACTGATGACCGAGCTGGGAGTTAGACATAAGACAGTCTACTTAGACACAGAGCTACACAGAAAACAATTATCTTGTGGAGTTCCTGATTACTGTATTACAAAGTTTTAAAATGGATATTTATAATTAAAACAGAAGTAGAAGCCCTTTTCTTGGAGAAAAAGAGCCCCTTTGCTTAATAATAATATTAATAAAAAAATAGTCCTGCAAAGCTGCACACATGGAGTGCTCCCTATCCGAGTTCCACGTCACATTTGCTCGGCTTATTAGATACAAGTTTTATGCTACCTGGCTCTAGGGTGTCAACTGAGCTTATGAAAATCAGATTTATTTTCAGTGCTTAATAGTTCATCTCTGACAATAGATAAATAAAGAACAGTACGTTCATAATCTGTTTGGCAATGATGTATGAAGCAGACATTCACAACTTGATCTCCATAAACTAGGCTGATGGCAGGAACAAGAGTATCATTCCCTGCCATTCCAACTTCCTTTTATGCCCTTCCACATACTCATCTGTTTCACAAGATCCACCCTTTCAAAAAAACCCAACAAAACAAGCCACCACAAATCTAACTTAAACATGTAATCCGTGAAACAGGAACAATGAAAAACTATGACATGTAAAGTAAAGTGTTCCCATGGGACATGGATAGGTTTTTTTTTTTCTTTTTTTGTTATGTGTTTGCACAACACTTAGAAAGACAGATTTCTAGATATGACTAGGGCTCCTTGGGGCTGTGGACTGAGGTAAAACAAATATTTAACAGTAATAATATACATATACGTTATAATACGAATGTATATATAATATATATTATGTACACACAATGCTATTAATAATGCATATATATATTATTACTATTAAATATCTGCCTATATATACATACACACATCTAGCTAACTAGCTAGCTACATCTTTCTTTATCCATCTTTCTATATACACATACATATACTTGTAATTTGAAGATAGAAAAACCTGCTTTTCATCTAGTCCTGTTATTCTCAATCTTTTTCATATCAGGACTCACTTCCTATGTAGCTGAGATCTGGTGAGGACCATTTTAGCAATTTGAGAAGGATAGAGCATTTGTAATTCTCTGACAGGCTTAGAAGACAAAATCTGATCCATCATGGAAGTTACAGCTCAGCAAGTGTGCTCAACTGTAGTTCATTCCAAGTACAGAGTTAACTTTGTCTTATACTCAGTAACTATAATGTTGGGCAATGTCAGATAAGAAGCCTTCCTCAATTTCTAACTTAAACTGTTCCTTCTGAATCTTCAGGTACATGTTTTATCCCTTTCTTTTTTGGTAACATATATTTTGTCACTTTCAGCTACTTGAAAGGCATTATAAAACATCTTCTGTTTCTCTTTCTCAATATAAAGATGATTAACTTTCAAGTCTTTCTTCATACACATTCACTCTGCACAGGGAATCAATCTTCTTCTTATCTTGTTACTATCACATGGACATCCTTGACCAAGTAGCTGAGCACAAAATTCTAGTTAAGGCATTAAGGCGATACTATATAAAAGCGTCGATATACCCTTGTTTGCTCTCTCCAAAGTACTCATTACCTAAGTCACTCAAATTTCATTTAAGTCTTCAAATTTAACTATACTCAAGGATAGTACTGCTTTTACTTTGCATGTGTAACACCTTGTGCACTTCTATTTATATTATTGCTGAAGAAAATTCCATAGTCTAACTCCCTTCCCCACAAGTAGCCAATGCATTCACTTGCAAATACTCAAGCAGTTTAACAATCGGCAAAACTATCTACTAAAACACCTGCATTTGGAATACTGGAAGTGTCAAAACCTTGGATCACGAGTGCCTAAAGAGAAGGGGGCTGGTAAACATTGTGAGCAAACAATACTTGGTTACAATAACTTTTGAAATTAAATCCAAAAACGATACATAGCAGCTCATGGCTGAGAAAAATGGACAGGCCAGAGTAAAATAGACTGCAAAATGTCAACTGAATAAAAAATGCCAGCACATTCAATAGGCTCATAAATATGAATACAAATTCATGTAAGATGTCTATTGAAATAAATCTCTTTCAAACACTTGGGTGTTAAACAAGCACTCTGCTAGATTCCAAGTATACCAAGTTCATCACTGTGCTTATTAGAGCTATTGATCCATTTTACAGAGAGAACAAACAATATTTCATGGATTTTAAGTCACTTTTTTCTATTCATTGTCTGATACAGAATAAACAAAACTTTATTAAAAGTAGTGGGGGCTGAGGTTTAGATTATTAATCAAATCCAGAATAATTTACTAGCTGTTCCTGTAACTTTTTAGTGTCTATCTCACATTTATTCTGCAGGAATACATGATTGATGGCAGTCTCACCGTTAAGTGCCCTTCATGATGATCAGGGAAATGTATGAATAAGTACTCTGTGGCTACCAATTGCATTATGGAGTCACCCAGGAATTCCATCCTCTGATTGTGGCCTCTGAAAAAAATGAAACATCAATGTAATAAGATCAATAAGCACTCAGGACAAAAAAAGAAATGTTCACGCGTGCACGTGCACACACACACACACAGATATAAAGAGTAATTTTAAATGAGAGTCCAGCTCATCTTTAAACACATTTAAGGCAATTTCCTGGTCTTAACCAGATAAACTGAAAATTCAATTGCTAGGCTGACTTTCACAAGAAAGCAAGTAAGTTAGGTACAGTCAAACAAAATTACTAGATGGCAGATGGAAGATTAATTGGAGAAAACAAGTCAGTGATATGGTTATAAGGAATAAGGCTTCAATGCTACAATTTCCTGCATGAAAAAGAATCAGTAAGCTAGTTGCCTTCAGTAAGATTTGGCAGAGGCATAACAAGCAGTTTTTGTACCTTGAATGTCAGCTGGGGCAGTGGTGGCCACTCTTGTGCCCCTCTAGATCAGTGCCTGAGGCTAGCGCCCCTGTCATCTATCCCTAGCTATGCTACTGAGATTTGGCAATGCAAGAAATGATCTGTTCATGTATAGCATTAAAAGGACAAGTCTCTAAATCCATTATTGACTCAGAATTGGAGATCATCACACATTATCCTACTTGACTTGTAGCAGCCTACGTCATGGACCCTTGTGTTTAGTGTTGTACAAATATGGAACATACAGATGGTGCATGCCTCAAAAAGCATGAGTTTATTTTCTTTTCCTTTCATTCTACAGGCCAATTCAAACCTATTTAGCTACTGTGCAAGGAATGAGGAACTGATTTTTCTTTTGATCACAACAGTGTAGTCTCTCTTAACTCAGTTGATGTTGTTATTCAGTGGTGTCCAAAGTGGCTAGCTAACCTGCAGCAAAAAGCAAACATGGGACTAGATAAGCTAGCCTGAGAGGCCTCCTCCTGTCCTATGTTTCTCTGTTTGTCTACTGCAACTCCAGTCAGGTTGCACTACTGCTTCTAATTAAATCATACAGGGCACATTTACACGAGAAACATTAACGGGCCTTAGCCTAGTTTACCATGAAGTATGGGCACGCATCTACATGTGCGCACCCTTTCTGTGCAGCAAACTAGGCTAACTGCAACTAAATAAGTGCAGTTAGTTAATGCACAGTAAACATGTGTAGATGCGACCCGGCACTAAGCTTAGTGCTGGGTCTGCCCAGCCACTGAGGGGCTGGCCTGAGGCTCCTGCCTGGGAGCTGCTTCTGCCCAGGGCTGGGCTGCCTCTGTGGCAGCCCCTAGCTGCAGGATATAAAAGCCTACAGCAATTTTGTGCCCTGGGGCGCACACTGCACAGGAGCCTGGACAAGCCTGTTTTACAGATTCACAGAAGTTTAGGGCTGGAAGGGACCTTGTGAGATCACTGAGTCCAATGCTCCTGTGTTCTATGCACAGGAACACTGTAGGCCCTGTGTGCCTCCCTGGACAGGACACAGGCAGCCTCTGCCAGTCCTGTCCCCTAGCCAGAGCTGCTGCTTATCCACAAGTGAGTGTTGTAAAGGGATGCAGCCTGCTGCGCCCCCTGCCCAGCCCTGAGATCTCTCCAGGGCTGCTGGCTGTCTGTCTCTGACAGCAGGTCCAGCACCTGCTCCCTCCTGCTGCTCACCCCCAGCAGTGTCTCCTGTGTTTGCAGGTGCAGTGGCCCACTGCCTCTGCCACGTGGCTCCCAATCCCTTGTCATGCCCTTGTGCTGAGTGCTGCTGGCCACTGTCCAGGGCTGGCCACACAGGGACAGCTGCACGGGGGCCCAGAGAGTCGGTGTGAGATGCACCACCAGCATGTCCTCCCCATCCAGGCCTGTCCCTGCACACACCTGAGCCTTCCATCCAGGGCCCCAACTACAGCCAGGAGGAGATTGGAGACCTCATCATGGAGTTCTGGGGTGATGCAGAAGTACAGAGGCAGTTTGCATGGGGTGGTACTCAAACACCCATATTTATGATGCAGTGCATGGGAGTGAGGGCACTTCTAGTCTGTGCGGCAGTGCCGCATAAAAATCGAGGCCTTGGAAGAACAGCGGGTGGCCATGACTGACCACAATCGTTGGCCCAGTTATACCTGCAAGACCATGCCCTTTATTGTGGCAGCTGACCAGGATTTTGGCGCCCTGTGATCCAGGTCGCAACCCTGCAGTGTTCGCCAGCAGGGGCAGCCTGCCTGAGCCCCCGGCCTGCCATGACCTCTCCGGTGACAAGTCACTGTGGGAGGGGACCTCAGGTGTTCAGCATCCCGCCCCACCCACCTCCTGGCTGCTGCATCTACTAGCAGCTCGGGGAGCCCAACCCAAGGATGCCTCGACAGCTCCGCAACCCCAGACTCAGCAATGAGGAGTGGCCAGCCAGGATACCACCGACCACCACCAGCGCCGCCACCTCCCTGGGAGGGGGGGTACTCTTGGCTGAGTGCCAGCCCACTCTGCACCATGGGCTGATGATACTGGGTGCAGCCAGCTGTCATCATCAATGGGGAGGTCTGCATTGAGCTGCCATCCTTGCCAGTCCCTGCCACGTGGTAAGTCCTGCACTGGGGGAAGGGCCCTCCCAGACCCAACCCCTGCCTCGGGCCAAGCCCTGGCCCCTGGTCCCAGCCCCTGTCCCCCACCCCTGCCTGGCCTGCGCACATTCCCCTGGCCCTGGGTTCCACCCCACAGCATGAAGAGAGGCAGGACACAGTTCAAAACTTTTAGCATCCCATGTCCCCACATCTGGGTGGGCATGGGCCTCTCACACCACAAGGAAGGCGTTGATATCAGCAGCAGAGTTCTCCTTGGCAGCGGAGGGCAGGGACCCATAGCACTGCCACAGGTAACCCTCCAGGCAGAGGTACTGGGGCAGCCCAGGCTTGCCCCCTGTGATGTCATAGCTCAGGGTCCAAAACCAGGAGCTCAGGTGTTCCCATGGCACCAGGAAGATCAGCAGCAGAAGGACCTGGGCACCCCTCAGTCTGTACAAACAGCTTATCATGCACTGTCTAGGGCACACGCAACATGAGCATGCTTGGGGTGCAGTGGTGGCATGAGGAGGAGTTGGCTCTCATCAGGGAGGGTAGGGACATGGTCAGACCCCATCCCAGGTGTCTGGGAGCCCCATGTGCCCCAAGCCTAGGCACTGTGGGCTGGGCAGCAGTGCAAAACAGACTAGTTGGCCTGCGAGGGAGGGAGGGGAGCAGGGTCTAGACCCATAGTAGCACATGTTTCCAGGAGCCCGGTCAGGCCCACCTTGGGTAAGGGTGAGGGAGGCAGAGTGCCTGTGACCGGCACCCAACTGCCTGCAAACCACGGGGGAGCACCTGGGGATGGGGGGCTCGGCCAGTAGCTGCCTGGGCCTGAGCCTGGACCTGCCTGAACCGGCCAGACTTACCATGGTTCCTGAGCACCTGTGCACAGCTGACCCCCAAACTAAGGCCAAGCAGTGCACAGTCCATGGTGCAGAGCATCTTATCTCTGAAATGTTGCAAACTCTCATGAAAAGCTTCTGTCTCTTTCCTCTGCAAGGCCAAGCTTCTGTCTCTTTCCTCTGCAAGGCTCTTTCCTCTGTCACTGCCACTCAGCTCTGGAGCCTGCTGACTGCACCAGCAGACTGCACCTTCCTGCTCCAGCACCTGGTGAAGTAGGAGGCACTAGCGCATTCCTGATGGGAGGAAGACTTGGCCCATGCAGAGAAGTGATGGGCAGAGAACACTGCCTGGAAAACCACGCAGAAGGATGCACAGGACAAGGCACAGCAAGAGCACTGTGCTGTCATAGAGAGCCTGGAGCAGGAGCAGATGGAGCTGCTCAGGCAGCAAGGGGCCAACCAGGCACAGGCAGTGGAGGCCACAGACTATGACTATTGGGTCCTGAACACTGTCCTGGGCCTGGTGGTCGCATGCATGCCCCCAATTGCCCGGCCCCCTGTTCCTGGCCCCACAGGGCTCCTGGCAGCTGGCCGCTGCCCTGCAGCAGGCCCTCACCTGAGCCTGGGAGGAGGTCTTCAGGTGCCTCCAGCCTATAGGAGCCCCTGGCCTAGCCCACATCTGAGGTCCACCACCACCCGCCTGGGCCCAACCCCACTGTTGGTCTCTGGGTCACACATATAAGGACCCAGACGTGCCTCAGGGATGCCGGCCAACATTAACCTCCTGGAGCCCCTAGTCATCATGGTTGACAGCAGCAGGGGCCTTGGAAGGGCATGCAGTGGTCGCCAAGGCAGTTGCTGTGTGTGGGGAGAGCTGGGCAAAGTGAGATGGCTGTAAGCCAGATGCTGGTGATGGCAGAGGGCCAGCAGAACAACTGAAGTCACCAGGAGGATCAGGGGATTTGTTCCTGGGTGCCAAGGCCAGGAGTTGGGGCAACCATGGCTGAGAAGTGCAGCTGGGGCAGAAGCGGAGCTCCCACATGCTGCTTGTGTCCATGCTACACTGCTTCTCTCAGCAGAGGAAGTGTCTGCCCAGACAACATAGAGCGGGGGCTGTTTTAAAGATGGTTGCCAAGTACTGGCAGCAGGGTCTGGCTTCAACATGGCTCCAAAGTGCTGCCAAGTGCCTGCACGTGTAGACACCTGCCAAAAATTGGTTACTAAACATTAAGCTAACGCACAGTAAATTTAGTCACAGCTAACTGCACATGTAGATGTGCCCACAGAGTTGCTTCTTAAAGAAGGGAAAACTGATGAAATTAGAGATTAAAAAGAGTTACACGTGCAACCCAACTTTGTACTTACAGAGTCAGATGGTTAAACCCCACAGTTCTCAAGGTGAAGGCACGTGCTAGAAGCCGAACATGAGTAAAAATAACTCCAATTGCTTCCTCAAACTCTGTTAGTTTCTGGAGAACTGGAGATGTCTCAATGAGCTGTCGGTCAGTGTTGGATTCTTGCAGCTGTAAAGAAAAAAAGTGCACACCAAAGAACAAAGGTTACCATATATTCAGAGTAAAGATCTCTTCAGAGAACAGAAGTCTACTGCAAAACGGTGGCTATCTGTAAGCAATAGTAGACTGTTCATGGCCCCCTCATACTTGGGTTGATGCCTGGATAATCAAGATGCAGGTAAAAGTTCCACTACTACTTCTTTCCTTTAAACTGAAAAGTAGAAACCAAAATCCAAATTCAAAAGAACATTATTCAGGTAGCTTTGAATTTCTGAAATGCTAGCTCTGGCCAACAGCAAAAGTATAAATGCCAAATCAGTATCCAACATGGTTTCTGGGACAAGTAAGAAACAAAATCTCCTGCTCAAGTGGAGATAGGAAAGAGAAATAATTAGCGACCCTATGGTGAAAGTAAACTGGGTGGCATCAGTTTAGTGACCTCTGCAGAAACAAGAGCCACCATCGAGAAGGTGTAAAAAAAAAAATTGATCCTCAGGAAGACTGAAGTGCTGTTACCCCCATTTTAGAGATGGACAATTGAGGCACAGAGAGGCTAAACAACTTGTCTAAGGTCCCCACACAGGAATCCCGTGGATTTTATTCAAGGTCTCCAAGATAGTGACTAAACCAACCACAGATTTCATAAACAAGCAAGGAAAGAGCCAGATTTCAGACTTGCCCCACTATCCCAGACCCCATCCCACACCAAAGTTACAGAAATGACTGTGAATCAAGCACTAGAGCAAAAATTCTGCAATAAAATTCCTTACACTTCCTATGATTAACTTAATATCTAAATGGTAAGGCCAGTGAGTTATATGCAGAAACTGTTTTCATAGACCTTTTTCTAGGTACAGGAGATAAACAGGAAGAAGTCAAAATGCTACCTCTCAGTAGATTTATCTTGCTGTAACTCCAGTCATATATCAAATCCAAGCCAAGGAAAGGAAAACGATTAATACTCAATGAGTTGGAGGCTCATTATTTACAAAAATTCACAAAGGCAAATGTATATGTTCATCTGGCTACTTGTTAGTAAATTTTCTAAAGGTGTCAAGACAGCTGAATGCTATGAAAAGCATCTTTGGAAATAAAACACAGCTATGAAATTTATTATAGAAAGGGACACACTTACTTGGAGTGGGTGTAGAGGATAATTAAGCCATACATCCCGCAGGTCCTGCAAACATTGAGAGATGCCTTTAATGCTCAGGGGAGTCATTTAACAAATTCCACAGTACTAAATAAAATGTCATTACTTGAAATACTGAACTATTTCAGATGCTGACTCTGCTTATTGCAAATTCAATACTGCTGGCAAACTAATTTTGAAAATAGTGTATTCACTATTCAAACTGCCTGTAGCTCTCCCAATTAGCTTATGTCAAAAAGGCAAAAAAATCTTTGAACCAAATAAAAACTGGTTTAAAAAGTAAAAAAAAAAACCACACAATTTGTTTAGGTTGTTGGTCTTACTTATTTCCACAACTTCTCAGCATCCAGTTTAAATGTGACCAAAAGCTAAGACTAAGAAAATACTGTATTTCATGTTGGTTTCCTTCATTATAGGCACCCAACAGCATATAAACACTGAGTTTTAGTGTGCTACAAAATAGTTTTATTTCTAACAAACATTATTTTTCATAGACCTACAGACCTTACAGAAAAATACTAATTAATTCGTTCCTGGGCACTGCATAATTTACGTTGTAGTTAATACCTAAATACTCCAGCACATAAGTATAAGGTCTTCCTTAAACATGTAAGATGACCAAGTCCCAGCCCTAATTTGGCAGCAGTGGAGGGATGGCAGTATTAATAGCCATCAAACCTATGCTGCCAAATCTCTGAAGCTATGGGAAGCCTTCTGGGCCAGATGCCATGGTTCTGCAGATATCGCCTGTGGGCCCAGGGTTTAAGCATCCCTATTATAAATGAACAAGACTTTCATCTCACTGGCCTTCTACTTAGTCTTTATCTAGTGCAGTGGTTTTCAAACATTATCTATGCAAGCCCCCATGGGTATGTAGCACTTTCCCAAAGAGTACATGTTTAAATTTTAATAATGGCAGTGAAGCTTCTGATTGGTCAACACACAGTGAATAATGGGGCTGCCACATATTGATGTCAGTGTCAAGACCCTTCCTAAGTAATAAGCAACCAGAGATGTGTCAGACGTAGGGGTATGAGCAGCAATATTTTGCAGGTAAAGGGGTACATGACTGTCTCGGACGGCCAGAGCCGACTCGAGGTGATTAAGAAATTGCTCGTTCGTTTGGGCGGGCTAGTGAATGGAGAGGCAGACAAGGTTTAATGGTTGCAAAAACTTTTACTTACGCCGCTTGTAGTTGCGACGCAGATGGTCCGGTCGTCTGAACAACTATGTGAGTTGTTCCAGCTGGCGATGCCCAAGCCAGTTAATCCGTCCGCAATTTAAGCCGGCGGGAAAAGGGTACATCTGGGATTGCGCTCGGCGACGGGAAGAAGGATCGATAGGTGATCAGTCTATTGATCAGCTAGCCGCAAGTCAGATCTCTTTAGAGGCACTCTGCAGCGTGCTCAAAGTTCTTCGACTTGGGCGGAAGTCGCACGAAATTTTAAACGGCTAGCAAGCCAATTACTAGTCGCCACATAGGAATAATTTAGAACTAGCCAATAGCGGGACACAAATTTGCATTCGAATAGCGGGAACTCTTTGCACCGTGCATTTCTGTGCTGCAAAGAAGAAATGCACCCTGCAAATTGGCGGGAACTCTCTTGCACCGAGGTTCTTCTGTGCAGCAAAAACCCTCGCTGTGCAAGAGGCT